TGGAATCATTTCAGATTTAAAGAACTTTCAGAAGTTTGGATTCTGAATATGAGCGACTTTTCCTTTAAGGATTGGAGTCTTCAATTTCTCTCAGTTCCGTATCGCTTTTGTTGGTTCTGACCCACAATGAGCAGCTTTGTTTATGTGTGTTCCAGAGTGTGGAGGGGACACCTTTACTGACCCTGTTAAAAGATCCCTACATCCTGATCAGTGCAGGTGAGGAGTTTCTGTTCACTTGGTTTTTTGTCTGAAGTAGGTGGAGGAATGATCAGCTTATCAGGAATGATCAGCTGTCCTTCTGTCCCTATGAAGGGTCTCTGTGCTTTGCTAATATGGGCGTGGCCATCCTGGAACCGACGCTGCCCATCTGGATGATGCAGACCATGTGCTCCCCCAAATGGCAGCTTGGTACGACCCAAACCTCCTGAAGCATCAGACACAGAAACCATCTGTTGAGATTTGATTGAAACCAGAAGGTTCACGTAGGACCAAGGATTAAACGGCTTGGATCTGAGACAGGAGAGCTGCCTGACCAATCACAGCTCAGCCTCAGGTCCACCATCAGCCTCCGTCTGAGATGATGATCTGACACTGATGTTGGTCCTCAATGTGTTGCAGGAATGGCCTTCCTCCCAGCCAGCATCTCCTACCTGATCGGGACCAACCTGTTTGGAGTTCTGGCTAACAAAATGGGACGGTCAGTACCTCAGCTGGTGGTTTCAGGCTAAAACACAACTTTACACCAGAAACTAGACCTCTTGCAGACCATTTGAAAATAAAAATAAACAACTAAAAAACTCTGGCTATGAAGGCACAACATGACAGTAATAATAATTGTAACTGAAATTGGTTTAAAAAGCCCTTATGAAGAACACAAAATCAAGCCATATCACTTCACCTGGTACAGCGGTGCTGGGATCTCACCTTGGCGCCTGGCCTGAGGTCGGGGTTCATGAGCAAGGACCTGGTGGTTGGCTTTTCACAGGGCCCAGACAGGCCAACCCAGGAAGGACTGTCAGGAGTCCATACCCTAGTTGGCCTACCACCTTGAGGGGGAACTATGAAGGATTGGTGCAAAGGAATCTTATCCATGGTGGGAATGGGGACCCATGATTTGCCCATGCACATCCTGGAGCTCCTTGAAAGATGCTGGACCCTCTTCTACTCTGAAGTGGCCCGTGAGGTGACTGAGGTCCAATTCCCTTTGTATGAGGGGAGGACTGTAGTTTTGACCTATGGTATGATAGTTTAAAGTACCAGGCTTTCTTGGCGTCATTATGTTGGGTGACTTCAGTGCCAATGTGGGAAAGGACAGGGACACCTAGAGAGGTGTGATCAGGAGGAACAGACCCACGTCTCTGAACCTGTGTGAAGTTTCATAGTTGGACTTCCATACAAGTCACAGACTGTCCATAAGGAATACAATGTTAGAGCATAACGATGTCCATCGGTGCAATTTGCACCAGGATGCCATAGGCTGGAGGTACATGATAAACTTTGAAGTTGTATCTTCTGACCTTATGCCACATGTCCTGGAGACTGGAGTGAGGGGTGGAGCTGTCAGCCAAACACCCTCTTGAGGTGAGTGTTATGTGCTGGAAGAGGAGGACGCTGAAGAGATCTGAGTCAGTAGTGAGGGTCTGCTGGGAATGTCTGGTGGAGCCAAGGAAGTATTTAACTCCCACTTTCAGGAGAGTTTCTCCCAGATTCCAGGGAAGGCTGGGTACATGAAATCTGAGTGGACCATGTTTACTGCTTCTATTGTCGATGCACCACGTGTTGCTGTGTGCCACCAGTTCTGTCTGCCACCAGGTCCAGGGGTCGCTGTAGTGGAGGATGCTATCAAGTTAAACAAGGAGTCCTGTTGGGCCTGGTTAGCAGCAAGCAAGTATTGTAAAGCTAAGCTACAAGCTTTCCTCCACAGGATTGCTATACACCTCCTTAGACGTAGGGTGAGGAGCTCTGCCGTCAGGGAGAGGCTCAGAGTAGATCTGCTTCTCCTCCATATCCAGAGAGGTCGGTTGAG